AACAGCAAAAGCTAAAAGCTCAGATCGAACTCATTGAAGCGAGAACAACGCCCGCTGCGTAGCCGATTTAACCCCCGAGCAGATGGAAGGTAATCGATTCGAGTAATATAACTATTCGTGTGTTGCAATATTTAAATTACAGCTCAAGGGCTTTACGAGAATGCCATGGAAATGCTGGCCAAGCCGCGCAGTGATAAACGCGTTGCATTAACACTGCTTCGCAAGGCAGCCGCTTTTAATCATCCCAAGGCACGCGCAGAACTGGCCTGGTCCGTGCTCTTGGGTCATTGGATGCCATTGATTTTCACCATGCCGCCGACGAGTTCGAGAGCTTGGCAAATGAAGGTGTTCATGAGGCTCATTTAGGTCTGGGATTCCTATACTCGGCGGGAGTAGGTGGCAAGAATGTCAGTCAACCACTGGCTCTACTACATTACACGCTTGCTGCACTTGGCGACAATACGCTTGCCCAGATGGCCATGGGCTATCGGTATTTGTATGGCATCAATGTGCCAACTAGCTGTGAGAAGTCCTTAATTCAATACAAGCGTGTGGCTAAGAAGGTAGCATCAAAGATTACGTTCGCCAACGGGCCGGTTGTGCATCGAGTCCGTCTGCTAGATGAGCTAGAGAATCCAGGCAGTCATGAAACGGAAATTGTAGACTATTATCAATTGCTCGCCGACAAAGGCGATGTGCAGTCCCAAGTAGGCTTAGGTCAGTTGTATTACCAAGGCGGGAAGGCTATTCAGCAAGATCACCAAAAGGCATTGGAGTATTTCACGCTTGCAGCCAACGCAGGCAATGCCATAGGTTTTGCATTTCTCGGCAAGCTCTATTTGGAGGGTAGTGAGCAAATCAAGGCGGATAACGAAACTGCCTTCAAGGTAAAAGAAACATAATGAATGAATATCTATTCGGTTGCTAAATATAATTAATTTTTTTATTTCATTAATAGTACTTCTCCAAGGCTTCTGAAATGGGTGATCCGGTGGGTCAAAGCGGTCTAGGGCTAATGTACTTGAAAGGTCTTGGTGTGCCCAAAGATTCCATCAAGGCTTTGTCGTACTTTACACAAGCTGCAGATCAAGGCTGGGTTGACGGACAATTGCAACTGGGCACCATGTACTTTAGTAAGTTATTTATTTCAAAGTTTACAAAAGATTTCGAAAATTTGTAATAATATTTGTTTTTGCTATTATTTAATTCTAGCTGGCAATGGCGTTAAGACAGACTACAAACTTGCGCTTAAATATTTTAATTTGGCCACACAGTCAGGCCATGTTTTGGCCTACTATAATTTGGGTATTATGCATGCTTATGGCATGGGCATGCTGCGATCCTGCCCAGCTGCTGTTGAGGTGTGTTTGGCATATGTTACAGTGTTTGCAATTATAATTCTAAATATCCAATATTTTTAACCATTCCAGTTCTTCAAAAACGTCGCAGAGCGTGGCCGTTGGAGCAGTAGATTGATGCACGCCTATAGTGATTATAAACAGAATCGCATTGATGAGGCGTACATGCAGTATTCCCTAATGGCTGAAGTTGGCTATGAGGTGGCGCAGAGCAATGCAGCATTCCTTTTGGATCGAGAGGAGGTTCATGTGTTTAACGATCGACATGAAGATTTGATTCGTGCATTTTATTATTGGAAACGAGCTGCTGGCCAGGGTTATTCAGCGGCTCAAGTGAAGCTAGGCGATTACTATTACTATGGCTGGGGTACTAAACCGATTTTGAAACTGCTGCAGCTCTTTACAGGTGCGTAGCTATGAAATCAACTAATTTCGGGCATTACAACCTTTCCTTATTATACTTGCTGTGCAGAAAAAGCTTCAGATCAGCAATACAACGCGCAAGCTATGTTTAATTTGGGTTACATGCACGAGCAAGGATTGGGCATGAAGAAGGATTGGCATCTGGCTAAAAGATTATATGATTTGGCAGCAGAAACAAATTCGGATGCCAAAGTGCCTGTCGCTATTGCACTATTCAAGCTTCAGATGTTAGCCAAGATTGAGTCAATAAAACAGGTAAGAATTATTATACATCCCACCTCGCCCTTGATCAATTCTAATCGATGCCATTCAGTCGCCATACAGATTCATCTTTTATATGGATGAAAATATTGCTGCCAATTGGGATTTATATATGATTACCGTACTAACCCTGCTATTGGGTATAATAATGTACACTAGACGACCATTCCAACAGCCAGATCAACCTGCACAGGCACCCCAGCCATTAGGTAATGATATAGCAGCTGTTCCCGTGAATACTGCACAAGCAGTTCCATTAGCACCAGTAGGAGCCACAGCGACAGCAGCAGCAGCTTCCGCTTCCGGTTCTTCTACTGGAGCAACGGTCGTTACAGAAGTATCCTCCACATCCATAACTACAACGACTGCAACCGTGTCTAGCAGCGAATCGTCCAGCCCAACAAATACGGCAAGCAGCTCATCTGCAGGGACAAGCAGCAGCAGCAGCAGCAGCAATACGCTCGATCCCACTGATTAGGCTTAACAAATTGTTTAATCATCCCTAGTTTAATTAGTGACCATGTAAATATTTATCATCTATTTTTTATTATTTCTGAATGGAATTTTTAGATATTTAAAAATCAGAAATATCTTACTCAAAAAATATATATGTGTTGTACTGATAAAACTGCTTATCCATGCGATACGATTCCTAACGCTAAATTTCTTCGAAAAACATTTTTTGTTTAATATATTTTCTTGTTTAATGTTGCAAGATTACAAATAAATTTAATTTGCGAGTTTTTAGTCTAGGCATAGTAGTTAAGATTAGCTTTCTTTTTGGACTGCACCTCCATGATAGCATCCATAAAGTCCTCATGCGTCACCGATGTAGCCGAGCGCCGCAGAGCAATCATGCCCGCCTCTACACAAACAGCCTTGCATTGTGCGCCATTGAAGTCGTCTGTGGAACGAGATAATTCTTCAAAGTTTACATCGTTGCTAACATTCATTTTACGGGAGTGAATTTGCATGATGCGTGCACGCGCTTCTTCATTCGGATGTGGAAATTCGATCTTACGATCCAATCGGCCGGAACGCAATAGGGCAGGATCAAGAATATCGACTCGATTCGTGGCTGCAATCACCTTAATATCGGCAGTTGAGCTAAAGCCGTCTAATTGATTTAGGAGCTCTAACATGGTACGCTGCACTTCACGATCACCGGCTTTCTCTGAATCAAAACGCTTTGTACCAATAGCGTCCAACTCATCAATAAAAATTATAGCGGGTGCCTTCTCCTTGGCCAGCGCAAAGGCATCCCGCACCAGCTTAGCACCGTCACCAATGAACATTTGAACCAGCTGGGGTCCAGCAAGCTTAAGGAAAGTAGACTTCGTTTGGGCAGCGCAAGCACGAGCAAGCAAAGTCTTGCCAGTTCCAGGTGGTCCATACAATAAGACACCTATGAAGAGTTATAGATTATTACATTTATTTCAGTCTAATCATACTGACCTTTTGGTGGATGGATGCCTAGATTCTTGAACTTTTCCTTGTGCGTCATGGGAAGTACCACGGCTTCGATGAGCTCCTGGATCTGTTTATCCAGGCCACCAATATCGGAATACTGTTCTGTGGGGCGCTCATCAACTTCCATAGCTTTAACACGAGCATCGTATTCAGCTGGCAGAGTTTCCAGAATCAGATAAGAGTCCTTATTTACTCCAACTAAATCGCCGGGTTTTAGTTTTTCGGCATCGACCAGGCCAATGACTGGCAAGAAATATGCCTGACGGGTTGAAGTTTTTATAACAGCACATTTGCCTTTGCGTTGGTTGTCCAGCACAGTAACAGAGCCATCATCCTCCTCTTCTTGCGGATCAACATCCAGCAGCTCGATGACATTGGACACCAGATATGGCAAAGTTTTATTAACCTAGAATATATATTTATATACATTAACTTACTGTTTCATATTAGTAAATACACTTTTCATACCTTTATTTTTTCTGTGTTGTCCTTAATTTCTCGTTTTGTGCTTGAATTTCATGTGTGATCCTCATTACCTCGCTCTTCATTATTTTAATTTCGTTATCCATAAGTCGAGTCCTGCTCACAATCTCATCAGTGGACATTCGCAGCACCTCTTCGCCCAATGATTCCTCGCCATCCTCCCATATTGATTTGTCCTCAAGTGTTTGGGCCATTTTTAGTTAACTTGTTTTAATAACAAACTTTATTAAATAAAACTTATGTTGTGGCTAGTTGGTTTCTTCGCTTTGCCTTTTGAGTCGATGACTTGTAAATTTCGTGTTTTTTTTCCAACCTTTAACAAGTTTGACAGATACATGTGTTGTACAATCACCAAATGTTATCGATGTTAAAACAATACCAATGCTATTTTGGTATCGATAGTCGATCGTTTTATAGCACTAATATAGGCTTGAAGAGAACGCTTTTTTCTTGTAAAATTTTTTGGCTAACTATAAATCACAATCATATATTTTCATTGCCATGTCCGAAAATAATGGTAAGTGTGATAGCTATGCCACTAGATACCGTTTGTCGTGCGTATGAGTCTTGGACATGTTCCAGAGTGACAGAGGTTTAGCTCGAATGAGCCAATATAAAGTGAAGTTAAAGTCAAATCTTTGCTTGTTCTTGTTGTGTTTTGTAGAGGCGTCGGTTGAATCCAACTGCTTCAGAGGCGGTTTTACTTTGAAGGCATCGCGCCTTGGCGGAGCCGTGCTGCGGCCACCTGTGCTCGGCGACAGTTCTATAATAAGCTCGGCTCTTAGCAATACCAACAGCAACAACAGCTCTACAACGTTAGCCGGTGGAAACGAGAAGACTGATGAAGATGGTATTGTAGGTAATCCGTTTTTACGTGAGCAGAGGGAAGATGAAGACGAAGCTGGCGCCCAAGTGGTGGAGTCCACAGAGAATATTGATAAGGATGACGATGAAATCGATGAGCGGCCGGATCCGCTCTCAATGCTGCGCAACAACGGCATTGAGCGCTCCAACATATTTGCTGCGGCTAAAACAACTTTGCCGCGTGTACAGACAAGTGGATTTATTTTCGGCCAGAATGTGCACGAGCGAGTCGTGGGGGTATGATTTAAATTTAAAAACATTTCTTAGATATACAAATATTAAATGTATTACAGGAAAACGTTAGCACAGAGTCGAATGCAGAAGCTGCATCGTCGGGAACAGTGGAAGCTACCTCATCGCAATTGCTTTTTTCCAGCGTCATTCAGAAGGCTGCCCAATCGACAGACAACAACAGGGAGACGTCTGAAGCAAAGAGCCTCAATGAGGTGGCTCGTGAATACGAGGAGAGCCGTGCACAGAAACGGAAATATGAAGAGGTTGAGACCTTTACCGGCGAGGAAAACGAAATTAATATTGCCGATGTTAGCTGCAAGCTATTTGCATTTGTCAACAGCAATTGGGAGGAGCGTGGACGCGGCAGTTTGCGTCTCAACGATGCCAAGGATGAACGTGATTGTTCGCGCGTCGTCTTTCGCACGTCGGGCAACTTGCGTTTGCTAGTAAACACTAAAGTCTGGGCGGCAATGGTGGCCGAACGCGCCAGCCAGAAATCGCTACGTCTAACTGCCATGGACAACACAGGCACCGTAAAGATCTTCTTGGCAATGGGCCGACCCGCAGACATTGCACAAGTGCACAAAGCGCTGAGTGAGCGTATTTCCAAGCGCAAGCTGACGCATCCAGAGGAGTGCGCGGTGGTAGAAGCCAAAAATGGCATTTCATCTGAAGCCTGTGCCGTCAGCGTACAGCCCGAATCAACAACTAACGATGATGACGAGGATGAGGCAGTGGGCGGTGTAGTTGACTTAATGCCAACCACTGGGTCCAACACAGCCATTGCCGAGGCGGATAGTAATGAGCCCAGCCCAAAGAAGGCGCTCATGCTGGCAGACAGCAGTGTGGATGCAGTCGTGTCAGCGGCAGATAGTGATGCTGATGCAGAACCCAAGGTGCTGGCTGAAGAGGAAGAAGGGGCTTAAAAACACTTGGCCTACGTTTTCGCTCTTTTTTCTCATTATTTTATTTTGTTTCAAATAAAAAAAACACAAATGAAAAACCACAACACACTAAATAAAACACATTGTGAGTTATTATCAATTAATTATAATAATTTATTAATAATTATTATTATTAAAGTAAAATAAATGAAGTTCCGAATTGAAAGCCCGGGCGCAGCGTCTAAAAAAGACATTTATCAATTAAAACATTTCGTGTTTTTCTCGCTTGGCACCCTCTATAGTCTCGTCTACTAAAAAAACCATTGATTTTTAAACTTTAGTCACTAAAACTAGTTCGCTTAAGGAATACTTTTTACAAGTTTTTGCGCTTGCACTAGAAATATGTTTGTAGAAAAAATAGGCTCATTATCGTATGCACACATTGATATATATATATATATATATATATATTAAATACCTATATATATATTTATATATATATACATAGCTATACTCGTATTAACTAAATGGAAATTGCAACAACATTGAATCCCAGACTGCGTTATACTTGATACTAGTTTTAACAATTACAACAAATATGTATACCGCATACGGACACAAAAGGCTTTGGCTTTGGCTTTAAACAATCGCTTAATGCTGCTGCTGAAGTTTGGCCTGGCCAATTGATTAATTACAATTATAATTATAATAATTAATTCAATAAGCATTCGTTTCAACAAAATAATTTTAACTTGAACGCCCCACTCGATCTGAGCGCCTATGTACAGGGAGGTAAAAGTGGCGTCAGTTCTAGCTGATTGTGCTGCAACTGGAGACGGTCACGTTGAGCGGATTGTTGGCGCTGCTTACAGCAATGGATGACCTAAAGTGAAACCGAACGACAAATAAATTAGTCTTTTACGAAAACGAACATCGCTTATACTCTTACCGATTGTGACGCATGTGACTCTTGACTAGATCGCTGTTAACCAGCGCCGCCATTAGGCTCAGTTCACCGGCCATCACGGTGGCACAGACGATTTGTGCCAGTTTCCGAGCATTGTCGCCGGGGTGGGTGGCATGGGCGCCGCGCACGCCCAGCAAGTCGAGGCAGGCACCCTGTCCGGGCAGACCTGTGCCTCCGCCCACGGTGCCCACTTCCAGCGAGGGCATGGTGCAGGTCATATATAGATCTTCACTATTCTCGTTCCAGCACTCCATAGCAGTGGAACAATTACTGGATGTGACATTCTGTGCAGGATCCTGACCGGTGGCTAGAAACACAGCGGTGACCATGTTGGCCGCATGCGCATTATTGCCACCAATGCTGCCTGCCATAGCGCTGCCAGACATGTTCTTCAGTTTATTACACTCGACCAGCGTTTTCGCGTCCGTTTTCAAAACTGAACGTAATGTGGCTGCCGATATGGTGCACTCAGTGACTACGCGCTTGCCACGCCCCTTAATCCAATTGATTGCTGCGGGTTTCTTGTCGCAGCAAAAGTTTCCGCTCAACGAAATGATTTGCATGTCGGGAAATTGACGCTTAATGCAACGCAGGGCCATCTCCGCACCCTTGGACACCATGTTCATACCCATGGCATCGCCAGTAAGAGCCACGAAACGTATATACAGTTGCGGACCATCCATGGCTATGTGACATTCTTTCAAACGACCAAACCGAGACGTCGAATCGAACTCTGTCTTGACCACTTTATAGTTTTCATCGCTCTCGATCCACTTCTTGGCTTCGGAGGCACGAGCGACACTAGGGAAGCGTACACAAGGTGCTCGCGTCATGCCCACATCTTCCACCACAGACCGAACGCCGCGCACAGAAAGTGCTTTGCAGCCCCGATTCGTGGATGCCACCAAAGCACCCTCTGTTGTGGCCATAGGCACATAGTAGCTCTCTCCATCCAGCAGCAGTGGGCCTGCATATCCAACAGGTATTGGCACATAGCCCAGGACATTCTCGCAGCAGGCATTCATCACTTTTCGGTAGTCAAAATGCTCATAAGGCAGCACTTCGAGGCGTGACAAGGGCAACTTGGCACGTTCAGCTATTAATTGGCGACGAATGCGTATCCCACGTTCTGCATCGTCCAACACTGACTCAATCTTGTAGAGCGGACAATGAGGTCCTCCTGCTTTGACAATGACAATGATTTCCTCATCACTTAAAACGCTGGCGCCGCCGATGCCATCGGCTTCGTCGGTGGAGTTCAATAGCTTCAGGCATTCCTGAAGTGGACGTGGTGGGCGGGCTGGTGCTCTCAGACGCTGTCGCACGGATACCACGTCGGTTTGAGTGGATGCATTTGTTGAGCTGTGCTCCTCAATACTGAATAGTGGTGTGTGGTTTGGGCTCTGCTTCGGCACTTCCTCCAGTGGCGTAGTCTGAGAAGCCTTCGCCGTGGTCGACTGAGGAAGCTGATTCGGCAGAGTATCCCGATGGTCAAAGAAGATTAGCTTAATCACAAGGGCAATCAAGACAATGAAGATGACTATGTGATCAGCGCTCATTGTTAGCCATCTGAAAAAATAAGATTGGAATCAGTTAAGATTTTATTGATATGGTCACATTCCCATGTTGACAACATACTTGATAATAATATCAGTTATTTCGCCCGATTCTGTGCGATTGTTGTTTACATTCAGATTTAGCGGCGGGGAAAGAGTCTTTTCCACAGCATCGTAGTCGCTGTTGCTGAACACTACCCGACTGTAGATGTGGACTATCATCAAGCCAGTGGTCATGATAAGTTTCACGCGCTGCAGCACTGGATTCGCCTTTTGTTCCTCCTCGGTGAGAGATTTTAGCAACAGCGAGCCTTTAGCGCGCTCTCTCACGGCTGATATATCGACACCATTGCGCGACAGATCAAATATAAGCGAAAGACAGGCGGGGTAGAAGGTCATGAAGACCACATAGTTGACAAGCACCGACAGTACAGCAAACATGCAAAGCACCTCCAGCCGTTGCACACCCGACAATGTACCCACACCCACCAGTAGTACCTCCACAATGGTGTCTAGTGTAATGGTTGGACCCAACAGTTCCAGGCCCCTTGCTATATTCTGTGTGACCTCCGCCTGGCTGCTGCCCGAGAGGGCCAATTGTGCCAATCGACCCGAGTTCGATAAATCGATAACCAAAAGCAATACGAAAAGCGCATCTCTACAAACAAGGAGGTTTATACAGTTAATAAATTGGACTGATTTAACTGCGGTTAACTCACTTGAGATCCGATATATCGCTGCCCAGAAACTTGATAATGGCCGTCGTGAATATGAAACTGGAAAAGAACGTAAAGAGACCGGCAATACCTGCAAACAGAAACAAAAGCAAAAAGTCAGGAGAGCGCACTTGAATTTGAGTTCGAGCTGGGTTCGTCAACTCGTATTAGTAGCAGAGGTCGTTTCACTTAGAGACCGCGTGAGAAATACCGCCAAAAAAATAATAAAAAAAGAAAAAAGGCAGCTAAAATATTGCCCAAACATATCTCAAAATAGTGGCCGTCCAGATAAACAAAGCATATTCTTCAGACAGAAGCTAATCGGTTGTGTCAACACACGCGCCCATAAAATCTTAGAGCCATGACGCAATCCCCAATCAAGTCAGACGCACTTACCTAGCACATATTTGGAGCCGAGCCTATGCAGACTGCAGAACTGATAGTAACAGTAGAGCACCGCTGTACAGCGCACAATGGTCATTAGGATTACATCGGCGGCATTATATTCAGCCTCGAGGCCATCGCAGGATTGTCCCCAGCCATGACAGGGGCGGTGTCGACTCGACGTCGCCGATGACGTTGTGCTGGCAATTATTGGCGGCTGCGTACCACTCGCTGCAGATGCTGCTCCAGCACTGTTAGCTGCAGCAGCTGCAGCCGCTGTCGTTGCACTAGCACTGCTAAGACCATTGGTCGGCTCTACGGTGCTGCCCTTGTCCAAAGTCAGCATGCATGCTGTGATGGTAAGTAGGGCGACTATCACCTCCCAGGGATGCGATGCACAAAATTCGCCATGGGCGCGAAACAAACGTCCAATCATCTTTGCTGCCGCTGCGTTCAGTGAGCTCCTCCAGGTCTCTGGGGTTAACTTGGCCGGCACCACGCTGCTCAATGGTCCAAACACTCCGGCTGGCAGCTGGCACTACTGCGAAACTGCGTCCAAGCGCTGTAATTAAAAGACCCAGAGTAGTTAAATTGCTGTATCATAGAGTAAATCAAGGACTAGAGGACACAGGGCAATCAACTTGCCTGCACCACATAATAGTTGTGCCACCCGAACGAGGGGAACAAATTAAACACAAAAACTAAAACAACAAAATTTTTATCGATTGCTATTGACACATTTGGGCGTCCGCCTGGGCCGTTCGTTGGATTTCTTCTCAACATGATAACAAAGAACGAAAAGCCGATATATGTATATATATTCATAATATATAAGTTGGCAGGATTCACAACCAATAAATACCCTACACAAACTGTCTTTGCATTACCAGCAGGTTTCGGTTACAGAAGCTTGAAATTTGATGTTAAGCCTGGTAGTACTGAACAGTAGTCATGTTAAGCCATTGATAGCAAGCGACCCGCTATGTGAGTTAACATAACAAACCTCTGTTGTTTTGCTACTACCAAATAGATTGGGATGTTAATGTAATATTTACTTTTTGAAAAAAGCTAACGTGACTCGCTGTCAACAACAAAATTATCATATATGTTAATCAAATTATGTCGCTGATTCGCCTTTTGCTCATTCAAAAATAATAATCCAAAATTCGCGCATAAATTAATAGAAATGTTATTAATTGTAAGCAGAGCAAATTTTGCATTGTTATATTTACTTTTATTCTTATTCAAATTTAGTAAACACAATTTAAAATTTTTAGCTGACTTTTGCTTTCAGTGAAGCTTAATCTAAACAAAATTTATTAGAACTGCTCCATTTTTCATATTTTTATTTTTATTTTTAATAACTAACAGTGTCTTAACATAACAGGCCTGCGCTTAATACACCCCTCTTCTCAATGGAAAGCTGGGTATGCGAAATAAAACTTGATGCTCTGGTTATTACACTAAGCTGCTTTAATCGCGTCCTTGGACAAGCATTGTGCGTATAGTTTGCCAATATACGCGTGTGTATGGTTGTATGTGTATAGAATGTCTGTAGGTAGGCTTTTGCCTTTGGGTTTACCTTTCGCCTACCGCCTGCCCACTGATTGATGGCATAAGCCAGTGCGGCGCCTACAATGCGATCAGCATATCCGCATGCTTACGCCAGGCATTGCCGACTGAACGGCTGCAGCTGCCCGAGTTAATAAAGCCAGCAATGCGATTTGCTCGCTACTTGGCACTAAGCACTTGGCTCTGGATACAAATCTCACTGAACGATCGCACGCAACGTGCCCAGCATAGGCAAGCATCCTCTCTAGCAGGCGCCATAAATATTCAAAAGTCTGCCTGTGCCTACGTCTGTCGCCGAGTTTGAGTTATGCGATGCTGGACTCTGATTCAAGTACCGTTGCTAATCGTGCCAGCCATAAAATATATCTTTTTTTACTTTAAGAAAAGGAACGAGCCATTTTTCTGGGTTGTGTAACTCGAAGCCTCTGGTCATAAACTATGACTACTGCAGTTGCGCTTCCATTCTCTGAGAACTGTTTGAATATCCATGAAAAAAAAAATATATATATATTAATATATATATATATATATATATATATATATATATATAAATATATATACATACATATGTTGCATTTTGGGCATCGTATGGGTGTTCACTCACTGGCACTGGCTCTGGGGTGCAATAGAGTTGTGGCGATCGTTAAAATTGTTGGGTATAAACAATGATCTCATATAGATACAGAATGTATTTTTTTCGTCTTCATTTGCTCTGGCTAAAATAAAATTCAATGTAATTGTCCGATGCTATTTCCAGCTACTACGGGGAGCACAAAATTTTATGGCAAAAGTCAACCATAACAGAACGCCTCAGAGGCCATGGATGAAAGAGTAGATCAAGATCATGATTACACAAAGCTAAAATCTGAGTGCAACATATGTACGCGCATTTAGGAAATATTTTATGGCTACGGCACCTTGAAGTGAGCCAAGAATCTGTATGTTTTCTAGTCTGATGCATTGTTACAAAGCCCGCTTTTCCAAGCAAACGTCAAATCTGATAGAATTTCAAGTTAAAACTTAAAAAGTTCTAACCTTTCCTAGCTAAACATATATTTAATAATTACCAAATAAGTTATGTGTCTATTATCATTTAATATATTAGACTTTCGGTGGATAAATTTTACACTTAAAAGCCAGCCGAAGATTTGTGACTAATGCTTTTATTTAAAATGGGAAATAATTTATGTACATATATTGTACTCAACAATTGTGTTCATGAATTTTATGGTTGACGTAAGCTGAGAACTTAAGTCAACAGCAATAAAAAGATTACTTGAATCGGTGAGCAGAGTAAAGACCTTAAGAGCTTTCTAGGCCCATTAAAAAATTTTGCAATTAGAGTTATATATGGAACTTCTCTTATGTATATCATTAAAGTTGAGTATTTTATCAAAATATTACAACTTTCCAGTTGTAGAAATTGCCACAAAATATATTAAATCTGCAGTGCTGTATGATTTGTAATCTTTTTTAAATATCTAAATAATAGTGGTCATGCCCTTCACAGCAATTTATGGGATTTTTTTTTATGACGGGTAATTAACATTTTAAAAAGAATTCGCGAGGCTCGAAGTACACATGGAGATGGCAACCAGATCAAATATTTACATACCGTCAAATGATTCGAATCTTTCGCTTTGTATTTAAAAGCTTCGCCTCGCTCAGCTAAGTAAGCTAATGTCAAAGCTAATAAGTCACGATTATGTCTATTATGTTGTGAATTTACATAATATTAATGGATAAATTAAAAGTATACAGTTGTTCTATATAATCTATTGAAAACTTTCTTAACACGTGAATTAGATTGGAGATAAGAGACTTGACCCTATGACCTCGACTTGGCGTACTTAACTACTTTTATCAATATGAGGAACAATAAAATTAAATCGACCAATTTCAGTTTCCTGCCTTGAAACTCATCGCATATAATTAAACTGATAATGATGATGATAATAATGACTCTGAGGACAATAATGATGTTGAGCTGAGGGGCAAAATTTGCAATAGTGGAACAGATGAGCAAATAAAAACAAACATTTCAAATTGCTGCTTGTTTTGTTCTGCCGTTCAAAGTGCATCAAGTTGATGTTAAGGCTCTTGACAAGAAATGAGAAGTGTGAATGATAATTGCAAAATAGTTTTGAAAAAGTAATTACCATTTCCATACGAATGTTTATTTTGAGAAAATGAAAAAAGCCAACAGCTATAACCATAACAATAACAATAATAAGAACAACAACAACGTAGACAAGAATAGTCCGGCCAGGGCGCCGCTGTGTGGATAAACCAGTGAATGGCGAAATGTTAAATTTAGCGATGAAATTGTGGCAACTGGAGAATCTCAAATAGTGTTGCTATCCATGCTTGTGTTCGTGTTGCTTACGTATGTATGTGTGTATGTGCCTTGCATTGTTTTGCAGGCTTTTTCGTTTACATTTGAAAAGCACTCGCCAAACGGAAATGGCGCTCGACCTCAACCTTACGAAAGTAGCCCGCGGCAGACAGCTGTGTGTGAGAGAAAGGGACAGAATAGAAGCCGCTATGTTACACAGAGAGTAAGCGCAATAGGAGAAACTCGCACAACAAAAGCAGAGGCTGGTCAAAGAAGAAGAAAAGAACTTAACAGAAAGAAAAAACTTAACAGAAACAATGAGCCGCAAGCAACGAAAAATAACAGATCCACAGACCAGAGACCAATTGGGCCATTGTTTTTTGTACATGGGTGTATACATACATGCTTACATACACATAAATAGCCACAATTTGGTTTTTTCAAAAAAAATTCTGAGAAAATTTCAGACAGTGCTCATATATAGCATTAACAGGCTTTCCCCGCGCCAATTATGCCAATTGCTGGAAGCCTGGCTAATTAAGATGCAACAAGTGCGCCAAGTGCTACCAGGAAAACATAAAGTGAATCATTTTTAAATATTGACAAAAAAATTCCATGCTCATTTTATATTGTTTTTGTCGAAAATGATTTATATGATTAACATAGGGCTGTTAATTGCGAGCGATAAATTTAGTTTTGAATCATCAATTGGCCAAAATACGAATAAATATTCTGCATATATTAATAATTATATTATATATTTTATAACTTTTCTTATATACAGATTTATTTATATATATAAATATAAATATATTTTAGTTGAATTTGAATATTTCTTGGAACTAAGTGTCGGCACGGATTTTTGGAAAATTCCCAAATACCGGAGCAAAGTCCAATGCAAATTTGTAGCAATTAGCGCCTCAAATAATTTGTTGTTATTTATATCGTGATATTGTTTTGGTTCATATTTTAAAATTCGATTGGGTTTAGTTTTTATCATGCGGACTTTTCTGGATTAGTCTACCCACTGCTTGAAATATCGTTGCTAATTCTGCAGTGAAATTCGTATTGAAAAAATTCAATTCGATTTTTCAAATTATTGAGATTTCGAAATCATGCGCCCGATCAAATATTTCCTATCTAAACAATGACCTAAGCAAAATTCAGAATAATATTTTGTTTATATTGATTGTATCGCAACAAAGTGCCTTAAGTGAAAAACATGAGTTTGCATTAATTATAATACTTTGTATTTATTTTTATAATTTTCTATTTTAATTTTAAAAATATTTCCCTCAAAAATGCAAATTTATACTGACAGAAACCCTTTTTGGCAATATATAAGCTAGAGATGGATGCACAATGGAGGATAAGTATATGAGCACAAAAAGCAAACTCCATCTTCGAAAATTAAGTTTCTCCTAGTTTCGTTAGATGTATACATGAGGTAACAAAATATTATTGGAGAACAAAAAATGAAAAAAGTTATCGATAGCAAGAATATATTTTTAAAATGGAACTCTTATAGATAGACAGGTCCCTAGGCTGTTCATAATCATCAAGAATTTACTCATCAAATTATAACCAATTCAACCACGCCCAATACCTATTAGATACATTTTAACAGATTTTCAACGATGTTCAGGCTATAAATA